GGTTCAACATATCCAAGGCCAGGGGTAGAGTTGTGAAAGTCATTGATACCCTTCATAGAAGATTGCATCTTCAGAAGGCTATTGTATCTGACTTCAAGATGTTCAATTTCTCTTATTCTCTTTAGAAGAGACTCATTTTCAGCTTTAAGCTTACTGTTCTCTTCTTTAATAAAGGAATAAGATCCTTGGATAGTCTTGAACTCTTCCCAAAATAATGACATTGGATCATCATTTAGGGCTGTGCCTACCGAGGAAGAAATAGAGTCAGCTGTAGAACATACCTCATCATCAGATTGTGCCATGAGGCAAAGGTCTTCAGTTTCTGCATCCAAGCAGCAGAAAGCTTCATCAGAGTCAGAGTCTGAACTGGACTCTGATTCAGAGAGTGGATCTCTCTCAGCTTGCTCTGAGACGAATGCTCTTCTTCTTCTGTGTTGATCTTCAGGCTTCTTTTCTTCTTCGTGTCCTTGCTTCTTGGACACTCTGGGGTAGGGGCAGTTTGCTTTGAAGTGCCCAGGCTGTCTGCAGTTGTAGCAGAGGTACTCTCCATTGCTTTCAGAAGATTTGGTCTTCTGATGTGGTCTTCTGATGGAAGATGGACTCTTTCCATCTTTCTTCATAAATTTTCTGAATTTTCTGGCAAAGGCAGCCATATATTCATCAGATAGAAGAGTTGAGGGATCAAAGTTTGTAGCCTTAGAAGTGCTGGCAGTAAGAGCAGTTGTGGTTCTCTCATCTGGCACTTCTTCTTTCTCATCATGCATCTCAAACTCATAAGCTTTGAGATCAGATATTAGTTTCTCTGTGGGATAGGTTTTGATGTCCTTGCTTTCTTGGACAGCAATAACCTTCATCTTCCAGACTGGGGGCAGTCCTCTGAGAATCTTCAGGTTGACTTCTTTAACTGTGAGCTCCTTCCCAAGCTCGGATATCTCACTGGTAAGAATCAGAAGTCTGGCATGCATCTCAGCTATGCATTCCTCAGGTAGAAGTTTGAAGTCATCAAACTTCTTCATAGCTATTGTCAGTTTGTTGTCTCTCTCTTGTTCATCACCTGCTCCTATGAGATCAAGTTTGTCCCATATTTCTTTGGCAGTTCGACACTTCTTGATTCTGTTGAAGTATCTGTTGTCAATGGCTTTGTAGAGGATATCTTTGGCAATATTGTCAAGATTGTACTGTCTCCTCTCTTCCTTTGTCCATTCTGATCTGGCTTTCTCAATCATCTCAGGCTGAGTCCTGTCAATAGTATGCTCAGTATTCACCTTCATAAATTTGGTGAAAGGTCCTTCTTCAAGGACTTCCCACATTTCGTCATGAAGAGCGCAGAGGTGTGCTTTCATTCTGATCTTCCAGTCATCATACTTCTGATCTGAAAACATGAGGTGCTTTGCAAGAGAGTTATCCATAATAACAAATAAATAGAGGCTAAGAACAAGTGGATCTTTGTTCAAGGTGTAACCTAAAAGATTACAAGAACAAGGAGGCTCTGATACCACTTGTTGGTCCCGTTTAATATGGTAATCAGTCTAGAGGGGGGGGTGAATAGACTGATTGATTTTTCAACTTTTCTCTAAGTCCAAAGTGACTTATCAGAGAAGGTCTAAATCTGGTGACAGAGAAAGGCTGGTTCTGATATCAGAACTGGCCTTGGCAGCGGATTCTGATCTGTCCGGGTAGCCTCAGAAACACTAAGGCAAATGCCTTTCTGATAACTCTGAAAACAAGATCTGCTGAACACAGATTCCAAGTCTTAGAGTTAACAGTTAATATCCTAAGTGTAGAAATGTAAATTGCAGTAAAGTAAATGACACCGGATATTTTTATAGTGGTTCAAGGAACAACTCGTTCCTCTAGTCCACTGTTCCACTAGCTTTGAAGTAGATCGGTTACAAAGCTTAGTTCCTAGCACTCAAGAAGTTCTCCACGCCTTCTTCAAGCCTAGCTGCCACCCAGGATGCAGTTCCACGTCCTGATGGCTGGTCCTTTCACTCAGCTTCCCGGAAGTATCACCACTTCACTACTGCAGTTACTTGGACGCCCTTCTTTTCAGAAGATCCTTTGAAAAAACAGAGTTTTTCCTCCAACTTGCTTCGTTACAAATGATGTTTGATGAAGTTCTTGAAGAGTTGAAGAACAGGATGAACTTTGCTCGTTGTTGGGGATGAAAGATTTGGAGTTTGAATCTTCCCAACGTTGACTTTTCTTGTAGAGTGTTATGAAGGTTGAATCTCAAGAAGTATGTTCGGAAATGGATCAAGAGTTCTTGGCAAAGTTATTTTTCTGTTCTTCGGTGTGTAGCTTATATACTGATGTTGTCTGCCCGTTGGAGGAGGAGACAACTGCATTAAATGCGCGTACTGTTGACTTGACCGCAGTTTTGGAAGGTTTCTATTTTTATAATATATCTTCCCGGATTCCTTGGTCAATCATTTGCAATCAATCCTTCAGCGTATCAGGCTCATTTAATGTGCATTAAATGCTTTCCTTTCATGCACAGTCTTCTAGCCGTTGGATGTTTTACCCGTTGGATTCATAGCTGTTGGATGTTGCTTGAAATCTTCTAAGTGTTAGTCGGGCTCTGATCAGGCTCTTCTGATGTGTCGGATTCTGAAGGCTTTCTGAGTTCTGATGGCTTTCTGATGAGTTGAGTTCTGATGGCTTTCTGATCTCTGACTCTGATAGGTCCGCTGATGCGTACCTCTGATCTGTAACTCTCATTGGTTATCAGATGTCCAAATTTATCAGCAACTGTCGTGGTGCAACTCTGATGAACTTCTGATAAGAGAACTCTGATGGAGCAGTTCTCATAGATCAAGTCTGATCGAGCAGTTCTGATGCACTTCTGATCTAATCCAAAACAGAGCAACTCTGATCGTCGACTACACTAATACTTACAATTGAAAAGTCTAATACATAAAATCTAATTTGGGGGTAATCTAACTTTCTAATCCTATAGCATCATCAAAATCTAATTACATTTATTCCTTACACACGCCATAAACCACGGCCAACTTTCTCCATTCTCTGATTCACAAATAGCAAACGCCAAAGGGAACAGTTGATTATTAGCATCACTACCCATTGCCACCAACAGCGTACCTTTATACTTCCCATATAAGTGTGTTCCATCGATGGTCAGTAAGGGACGACAATGTTTAAAGCCCTTAATGGATGGCTTAAATGACCAAAAAACTCTTTGAAACTGCTGAACATCAGTGGTACCTGAAGATGGAGAAAATTAGGAGGACGAATTAAAAATGAAATTTAATACGATATAATAATGATATTAATAACTCAATGGTACCTGAAAGAGGTGGGTACCAATGCACGACTGTCCCTGGATTGGAATGTTGTAATGCCAACATGAAATGAGGCAATTCAGAATACGAGGCCTCCCAATCTCCAAATATTTCACCGATAGCTTTTTGCTTTGCCAACCAACTTCGCTTGTATGAAGGTATATAGTCGTACCTTTCCTTCATAAGCTGACTAATAGTGCGGACTTTTAGTGATGGATCGGTACGAAGAAGATCAATAATTTCATGGGCTATGAACTGAGCTGTGATACCAGCATGGTCATTGTTATCGATGTTACCTACACAAGTAGGTATATGAGGACCTGCATAACGAACAACTTTGAACATCTCTAGCTTCTCATGTTTCTTAGTAGCCCGGATCTGCCAAGTGCAGCCACATTCTTTTCTCCTCTTACACTCTGCCACCCATTTGTGTTTGTCAGACTCTACAACTGAGAAAAATTGGTTCCTTTTTACAGAGTACGCTCTAACCATGTTGATCAGTTGTTTCTTATCATCAAACTCTTGCCCAACCTCGAATTCACCATCTGCAGAGAAGCAACTAGAAGTTGTACAACCCTTCCATGATTCATCAAATCCCGCAGGGAGCTCATAAACTTTAGTGTAGTGGCTGGATGGTGCATTGCCACTTACGAGATCACCACCATCTTCATCTGAATCTGTTAGTGTGTCATGGTTCACATTTTCATCTGCATCGTCGTCATTGCATTGTGAATCCAGAAACGTTGCATCACTATTCACGTATCTTCCATTCTCCTGTGTAACCATATTCATCACAACTGGAACACTTGTGGATGGGCAAGACAATGGCGGGTGGCCAGGTTGTATGGGCAACATCGCCACTTCTTCAACATATATCTCCATGGTATGCATATCAAGATTCTCGATTACAGTCCACATTCCTGTAACGGCTTCGTCGTCAACAAGAGGCATCAACATGTATGATCCACCATGCATGGGATATTTAACCTTCAAATCCAACTTGTTCATACGATTGATGGATGTGGCGGCATAAATTTTATTCATTATTTCAGCAAGATCCACTCCACGGGAAACAACAATTATCTTCCGAATCCCTCCTTCATAATGAACTCCGTTTGACTCCTCGATAATATTTCCTCCCCATTGACAAACAATGGAGAAGTTTCTAGACATATTCTATGAAAAAATCATTCCAAAAAAAGTATGACGTATGCCGCTATTTGAAAATTCAACTACAATTGCTATAATTCAAAAGAAAAGTATTAGATCGTAGATACATATTACGATTTCATACCATTAAATTAGGACTCATAATAATTAACCAGTAAAAACAATGCGGTGTAATGAAAAAGCAACAAATTAACACATGATTAATTAGCATTAGTTAATTAGTAAAAGAAAATCAAAATCCGTTAATAAACAAGTAAACAACAACAACTTCAAGCAAATCAACAACAATTTTGAACAAAACAATAACAATTTCAAGCAATTTAGAGCAATAACTAAAAAACCTAACTTTAGCAAAAAAGGTGAAAGTTGGTATCATTCAAATTTTACAAATTATATAAATTCAATCATAATAACAAGATTAAGAAGTTATATATTTCACAACATCAAATACAAAGAAACTAATTAAAAAAACAAGTAATTTCGAACAACCAATTAAAAAACCTAGGTTTAGCAAAAATGGTAGAATACCTCTATTCAAACAGTAGAAAGTCGATGGAATGGAGTACAAACGACCTCGGGTACACCACGAGCCTTTTCCCTTTGATTTGAGCTTCGTTTGGACGAAAGCTGGCCGGAATCGGAGTTGCTTCGTGCTGTTCCCGTTCGTCGATTGCTGCAGAGGGAAGGAGGAGGGCAGATTAGTTCGTCGGCTGGGGAAGAAAGGGGTATGTTTACGGATTAATGAGCCGCCACTCGAAGTGGCGGCTTTTGTATAACTATATAAGAGCCGCCACTCGGACTGGCGGCTTTTATAAAGATAGATGAAGAGCCGCCACTTGGAGTGGCGGCTTTGCTTAACCATGGTTAAGCAAACAGTAATTCGGGAATTATTCTTAACCCAGCAGTATTCTGGGAATTATTTATTTAATTAGCATTATTCCAAGAAAAAACTCTGTTAAAATCGTATTTTTGAATCGAATCGGTAGATGTTTTTAAAAATCGAATCGTAAAATCGAATCGCAAATCATAAGATTTTACCAAACATATTTTAATAATTATAAAATAAATAAATATTAAAATTAAGTTGCAAGTTAATGGTATTATATCATTTCATTACATAAAACTATACCTAAAATGTCAAAAGCAAGATTTATAAAGTGTTTTTATAATGTAAATGTATTGAATAATAACATTAAACATATGTAAAACATAAAAATAACTAAGTAACACAATAATCCATTACTTTAATAAATAAACTATTCATATTATTATTATTGGAATTATGTATCAATTTGTAGTTGTTAATTTTAATAAATTTGAACCATTTTCACCAAAAACAACTTTTTACGATTTTGCTACGATTTTGCTACGATTTTATACGATTCTACACGATTTTAGGACGATTTTTTACGATTTTGTACGATTTTATGATTTTACGATTTTACCTGCGATTTGAATCGCTTTATTATTGTAGAATCGTAAAATCGTACGATTTTACGATTTAAATCGAGATTTTAACAACCTTGGATAAAAATAATCTGAACTATCAAGTCATCCGTTGTAAAAAAAAATTAAAAGTATCAATTATATCAAAATAATCACAATTATTAAAAAAATCAAAATACTCTAGAGATAATAAAATTTTATAAGTCATTTATGTATTATTTATCGTATATGGAGTATTTTGAGATTCTTTTTCAACAGTTAATTAGGATTATTTTAAAATAATTCATATTTTGGATTATTTCAATCATATCACTTATAGTTGAGATTATTTTTGTTCATTTTTTCCAATAAATAAGAAAAATTGCATAATTTGAACCTCTAACTTTCCTAATATTATTAAGTACTACCTTAGCGGCTCCGCCCCTCACTGGTTGTCTTGTTTTAACGCACAATTATTAATAAAGTGATTGAAAAGTAAAACTTTTAATTGAGATTTGATTATAATAAAGTGAAATGATAAGAACCACATATTTCTTGCCAAAAAAGAAAACACGACATTCATTTTGGTACAACTCAAAAAGAAAAGTAGGACAACCAAAATGAGACAGAGGGACTAGTATTTATTAGGAAAATAAATACTCTATCTTTTTTTAATAAATATCTTTTTACACAAGCGATTACTCTATAGTCTCTATTTAATATCGATAGCGAAGGAGCAACCCCTAGTGATGGCAATCTCACATGACCCGCTGGATACCCGCAGCGAACCAAAGTACTCAAAACGGGGAAAACTATGTTGACTGGGTAATGGGTACGGGATAGAGAATATCCAATTTATGTAAACGGGTAATGGGGTGGATATGATTTTATACTTACTCGCCCCGTAACTGCCCTGTCTAGTTTGGGTACGGTCACCTGAACCATTACCCGACCCGTCTACTATCTTATACTACCTCTGACTATTACACTTTGACTTTTACACTATTCACATGTTTTACTCTGACTATGTTTTATTTATTAATATAATAATAATATTTTATGAAAAATATTGTTAAGCTTGGCTCATTGTAAATTTTCATAATCTAATTTTTTTAATTTTTTTACTAATACAAAATCATTTATATTAATGGTCAAAGTTGTGTCTCGTCAAGTGTGAAATGTTGACCGTTGCATTTATTTAAGAACGGAGGAAGTATATTTTAATAGATTGTATATTTATTAAAAAATATATTTTTAATAGATTATATAATTATTAAAATGTATATATATTTTAATAGTTTGTGTATACTATGTATAATGTATTACACTTTTTAAGCTATACTTCGTGTGTACCATATTTAATATATATAATATGCATTATGTAATATATTATACAGTATATAATACTCTCTGTTAAGCTATGCGAGAGACTGTCCTTCATTGTTGTAATAAGATTATTTGATTTGATTTGTGGTGCTCATTGAATTTTTATCCGGTGATGAATAATAATTAAGTGATTGTCTGTGAGTGATACTATTTTGGAAAAATAAAATTACATTTTGATTATGTGGTTAACTGCGGGGATTCGGAGAAGACCATTCCACATTTTAATCAGGTACAGTCCAGGTAAACAATTCTCCAACGGGGAACGGGGAGGGTTTGGGGATAATAACTTCACCAGTGGGGCAAGTACGGGCATGGGTATACTCGGCCCCAATTCGCCCGTTGCAATCCCTAGCGACCAGGATAAGTAGGCGAAAGGAAAAGCATGGCGGACCGGTTTATCATCTATCTTACAGGCTTGACAAGATTTCCTTCGTTAGTCGTTACTTAGTTTCAGACTTCAAGTGACATCAGCTCCTAGAGATTCTTGGTAAGGATATGACACAACCGGAGTGTTCTTCTTTTATTGTTCTATTTATTATTCTATTTTATGGCGGTTCTTTACCGGACACTGGTTCTCTGAGTGTTTTGTCTCCCTTGATGTAGGGAGTTATTTTGGTGTCTTTACCAGTTTCGACTTGTCAGGGGTTTCTATTTGCCTTCTTTTGGGATGCTTAGAGCTGAGAAAGGTGTAGACATAAAGATTGTTATTGAGTCCACTTATTTCTACCTTTATCCAGAATGAAGTAAGAAGAGTTTAGTATGCACACATATTGCAGTCTACAACAGCTTGTCTTCCTCTGCACCATCTTCGTGCCCGACAGACTTTGGGGGAAAACCTTTATTCGAATTTTATTTTTCTTTAGTAGCACTTGTTTTTTTAGTTTGAGTATGTTTGATTTAGATGTTTGGTTCGAGTATGTCTGGCCATTTTAGGCTTAAAATTGCTTGTTTCGTATCTATCGAGTCAGGTTGCTTTAATTTGTATGAGGTGGTTGATTCTATGTCTATTCCTATAACTTACGATCAGATATGTTATAACTGTTTGGAGGTTATCTTGTATGCTTTCTCGATATTAATATAAAATGCCGCTCTTTTATATTCAAAAAATAAATAATGCTTTTTTATAATCTATCACATTTTCATATAGGTCCTTATATGAGACACATGTGCATGTCAAAGATTACACATTACTTGAAGTTACTTTGATACAAAAAATTATACTACGTAATATAGTGCAACCTTCTAATTGAAATTGAATTCTTAAATAAATTAAATATTGTTAATGTGTTTACCAAAAGATAATATATGATGTTAATGTGATTAGCAATTATGTTTATTGATTATCGGGCCTCGGTATGGTTAAGTAAAGACATTGGTCCAGCTAGACGTTAAAATAAGAAGTCGGACTGGATATCCGAAGGGGATTGGACAGTGTTGCAAGAGTATTGAGCCTCTGATGCTTTTAAGAAGAAGAGTAGAGTTGGGCAGAAAACTGTAACTTCAAAGCAGCCAAGGAATCACAATATTGGGGCGGAAAGATTCCGTTTGTAACACCATCCCCAAATATATTTACTTTTACCAAACTATGTATTCAACCTTGAGAAATGATTAATAAATTTACGTGGTTGTAAATTTTTGTTATTATTTTGATGCGAGTAGTGAAACACACAGGGGGGCACCTGGAACAAGGGCCACCCGACAATTCCGGAACTACATACGGAGTATTATATTCATCTTGGTCTAGATAATATTTATATGATTGTAGGAATTCGTGATTGGGCCATAGAAGCTATATAGAGTTGGTTGGTTGATCAAACGAGACCCATATACCTACATGCGTTGGGAAATTGCCAGATAACAGCTCGTAGTAAATTATGGAGACCACTAAATTAAGTTGGGGAATATATATTCTAGGGCTGAGACTTAGAACCGAAAACCGGGAAAACCGATCCGAACCGAACCGAAATTTCTGGTTTGATTCGGTTCCTATAATTTTGGACTTCACTTTTTTCGGTTCGGTTCCTATAGTCTTTCATCGGTTCGGTTCCAGTTCGGTTCCGGTTCCTGACCAGGAACCGAACTTCTCATACACTGCATGAGTAGTCTTCATTTGAGGTGTTTCCGGGTGGAATTTTTCGATGAAATTTTGTGAGGTTGTTTTCTATTAAATAAAGATTATATCCACCAAATTTGAGCTTAAAATGCAATCGGGAAGTTAGTTAAATAAATTATTGAAAAAAATTACGCCAAAATATATGAAAAAACGCAATTTTTTCAATATTTTATTTAACTCACTTCCCGATTGAATTTTAAGCTGCAATTTGGTATATGTAATCTACATTTCATGTAAAACATGCTCACAAAATTTTATCAAAAAAATCTTCACGGAAGTACCTCAAATGAAGGTAGTCAGACGGCCTTTCGGGCAAAAAGTTCTTGTCAAATATATTATTCTTGCATAATATACCTTATATATTGTGGACCACACCAATCCGAGTAGTTATCATTGTAATACTTTAGTCCATTTTTATATATATTTTTTGTTTGTAATTGAATTTGTTATTGGAGTTCACTACAAAAAAGAATTAACATTCTATTGATTACGTTGTTTATTACCACGTAGTTTTTACTTATTGTGCATTAATAGAAGAAGAATATTATTTTGGGGTTGAACTACCTGCTATTGGATGTGTACTCTGGGGCTATTGAACCTTTTTGCTTGACAGTTGATACCTATTTTAAATCGAGATTTTTGTTATGTTTAAATTTAATGTTGTACTTGAATATGTCTTTGGATTTTTGAGCATTGAGATATCATGCATTTATAATGTAATGGTCTTAGGATGTTTTTACTTGGACTGT